CTACAAATAGTTTTGGTGTCAAAGGATACTTAAATTTGAATACAGTAATATACTGACTGATATTAGAGCCAAGTGAATTGGCTCTAAAGTTGGTGACTCTTTTTACAATATAAAACTTACTTTGTGTGTGTCCCCCTCCTTGGCAACACCCAATGTTCAATTTAGAATGTAAATATCTACTAATTCTACCTTATCTTCTAAATTGAACACCCAGTTAACACACTTATACTATGAAAATTACTTTCCTACAAAATTGAAACATTTCCAGAAGAAATAAAGATGAAATTTAATCAATGCAGTTCAAAATACATGAGAATTTTTTTTTATTTTTTATTTGTTCAACCAAATATTGACTATTTTTATTTTATTTTTTTATCTTTTAATTTTTTTTCAACTAATCTAACTACATGAACATAAATGCAGTTATTAAGTATTTTATAATTTAGAGAGCTATGAAAAAAATTCATATGTATTAAAGGTGCTGTGATTTGAAAAAGTTTAAGATTTATAAGAATAACGGGTTTGGTTTACAATTCCAAGAAGTTTACTAAATACAACCGATAGCTGAAAATGGCTGGAGTGTATAACAGTTGAAACATTGTGACTGTAAAAAAGATGAAGACACTAGTCTGAATAGATCAGTTTCTAATGACATTTTCTAAGTATCACACACAAATGATGGCTTCCAAGCTATTAAATTTTTCAGTAAACTAATGGTTTATGAACAAAAACAAATTACCATCAAGAAGTGGAAGAGTAACCAATCAGTGAGATTTTATTATAATTGTCCATAGCTTCAGAACCTCTTTGTACTCAGCTAAGACTTTTGTTATATAAATATTATTTTTCAATGCTTTTGCTAACATTATTCATTATTTTTTCTCAGCAGAAAACCTTCAGAATTTAAATGTTTTGGCATTTCTTAAAAGATCCTTGTTGTTCCAAGTGTCCAGACTTTCTGATGGTGACAGCATTAGAAATATTGTTCTTGGCTCCTCTTTGAATTTTTGTCATGTGACATATGGGTACAAATTATCAGTGCCCAGAATTGAATGTTACCATATTGAGTGGGTGGAAGTAAAATGTCTTCTGACAATTACATAATGATTTACATTACCCAATCAAATGGCTGGCATATTTATCTGCCTCAGATATTGATTTCCCCATGACATAAATCTTCTTCACCCACAATATAACCAAGTGGCAACCAGTTATATTAACTGGTATTCCATGATGGCTGGCTGGATGTCATGATGTCTGATAATAATGTTAGCACTAAAGCCTGTAGTAACTGCACTAGAAAAACTTTTTATTTTTTTTGTCAACCTTAAATTTTAGCTTTCATTTTTGTATAAGGTAGTAATTGCAATATATATTTATAAAAGAATCCTTTGAAATGTTTTTTTTTTGTGTGTGTATGTGTGCTTATTTCATCACCTCTACCCTCTGACCTTCTTCAAGTAATGAAACAAAATACAATTTTTTTTCTAACTTAATCATGAAATCTCTTTATAATAAATTGTAGAAAAATCATGCAATATGTAATCATCATAACATTTGATCTCTTACAAATTCTTTTTACAAGTTTTTCCTTATAACTGATTCTCACAGAAGGGTATTTGTCAGTGAAGTAATTAAATTTCAGCCAAATAGTTTAATACTCTTTTGCATAAAACCACAAAGATTTAAATTGTAATATTTTTACCTTTTTAAAGTTAACACGTGGTAATCTTTTAAACTGCTTAGTTTGCCTTAATCTAAAAGGTAACTTAAAATAGATTATCCTAGATCAGAAAACATTTCGGCAACATTCATTTCACTTAAAATCAAATATTAAGGGATTTTCTTAATGCTTCTAAGACTCTAGTTAAATTCCTTATTGGTTTCTACCTTAGATACTGGCAATATGTGGAGACATATATTCTTGTAGTTTGCTTAGTTTAAAAAAAAACAAAAAAACTACAAAATTTTATTGATAATTTTGATGTAATTAATATGGAATTAAAAAAAGTTACAGTTTTAAAACCTATACAGAATGTGCCTACCAAAGATTATTTCTGTACATAGATTTTTTTTTCTTTTCCTTTTTTTTAAAATTTTTTTTTATGTGTCAGTCTGTTGGAAAATTATATTTGATTTACATTAAATCAAATATTTATTACAAATTAAAGTGAAATAAGGGTGCTCCTGCAATATATTAAATTCTTTTAAGGCGTAAAATATTTTAACTAGGTCAAAGCAAATTTAATATAAACATTATCAACATTTAACTTGTTGATACTTTTTACAATAATTCAATAATTTATTTTCTGAATTAGTTAATGCCTTTTAAAAACAGATTATATAAACCAAAGATTTTCTGTTTTTGGGGGTTTTTTTCTCCCCTCCACCACTCTTAACACTATAAAAGGAAGTTTATTTCAGACATCATTTACTATTACAATGTTTGTAATCCTATATAAGGCTTAGACATTTTGCTCTTAATATTGAAATTAGCATATGACAACTGGAACCATTCATTTATAAGATGATAATGTCTACCAGTGTTAAAAATCATTTATTTTTGGTTCAGAAGTATTGGGTAATGGTGGCAATGTGAAAACTAGACTACAATAATACAGACTACAGAATATTGTTAACTTATTAAGCCACTTCATATTTATTTACATTTAGATTAATGCTCTTGTCTTTGTTATCACAATGTTTCAACCTTCTTCAGGTTTATGTTGATCCAAGTAACCTCCAGAGTATTTCAAACTGAACTCTTTCTTTAATCTACAGGTGTAGATCATTCTGATTCCACTGCCTGTGTCTTGGGATATCTTGTCTTTATCTAGTACTGCTCAGTTATTGCTTGCTGTTATCAGTTTTAAATCTGTACTATCTGATCCAGGGATTAAACTCATAATTACTATGTCACCAAATTCATGAACCAATGAATTAATCTCTAAGCTGTTATATTTTATAACTTATTTTCTACTACATCGCTGCTTAATTCTTGCTAAGCTTATGCAAAATAATTGAATACAAATAAAAATATAAATATATTCCACTTGTTTCATACTGGGTGGCACCAAAAAAAAAACATTTTACAAATAGAGATATTTTTAGTTATATAAATTGTTGGAGTGCCAGGTAAGTTATGACAATCTAGGTTTCAAATCTTTCAAATTTTAAAGATTATTCCCCAGCAAAGTAAATAAATGCAAATAGTTGTATCTTAGAATATTCTACTTGAAAACCATGCAACTATTCGTATAAGTTTCAAACCATTTCTGATTACAAGTTTATTTAATAATCTCCTCCTTTTAATGTTATTAAATCTTATTTTAAAATTTATTAAATCTTTTTACAAAATTTGTACGATTTCAAATCAGCAAATAAGATAGCCAGTTGGTCAGATTTGAGTTTGTTTTCATATCTTTGGTATCTTAAAATGTTTATTCCTTAATATAATAACACTTCTAGAAAAAGAACTGTCTATTAAAAAAAAAAAAAAAAAAAGTGGTTTTATGCTTCAAGCATGGACCTCATATCCTGTTCTTCATTATTTAATTTACCTGAAATATAAAATCTGTAGTATATGTATTTTTATTTATTAATAAATAGGAAAGTGTTCTTTTGGCCTGAAAGAAACCAATTGCTTATAAGGATTTTCCCTTTTTATAAATTTGACAAATACAAATTCTTTTTGAACAATTTCGAATTAAATTCTTTTATTAATTAACCTATGCTGCTTTGTGTTTAACTGTATAATTTTATATCTTTGTAAACCTGTTCCAAAGTATCCTGATTCTTGATTGTTGATGACATAATGGAAAATTGAATGAAAATTAGGTTTTATAATGTTAATCATATAGAGGAATATTTTTACAATTGCAAAATCCTCATGAAGCACTTCATTTACATAGTCTACAGATTTATTGATGTAGCTCATAATAAAAAAAGTATTTATTTTACACAACAAATATTTTCAACATGATTCCCTTCCTTTTCAATATTAAATATGTGTATCCAATATTATACAACGAAAATTTAAAACGCCCAAATCAACTGATAACTATTTGTCAGGTTACAGATTTATTGACTGAAAGGGCATCAATACTCAAGGGTTTCCACAATCGTGAATAAGGACATTTCATTTTTTTTTAATATGATAATTGGTTACTGCCAAAAACATAAAACTAAAAGGTTAGTGATAGAAATATATTGCTTCTTACTTGTAGATGAAGTTGTGGTAATATTTTGTTTTGAAAAACAAGCAAATAAAAATGAAAACGGCTAACACAATGTTGATGCTTATTAATTATAGAACTTGAATCCCAGTGTCAGATTCTGCACCAGGTTTTCATAAATAATTCTAATAAAAAAAAAATATCAGTAAATATAATAATGCAACTATTTTTCTAGAAATTAAATACTCTTTCTCTATCAGAGAAGTGATACAAAGTTGATGGTCAATAAAGCAATATTTGTATTGATATATATATTCATTTCTGGATAAGTCTCTTATCGTATTTGTTTAAAATGTTTGTCGCAAATACTTCAATATTTTTAAAAGAAATCTTAGTGCTGATTTATTTTTAAATGATTATACATAAAATCCTTTAGTTCAAATGAATTGTAGAAGTTAATCAGCACCTGAACTAACTATTGATTCTGATATTTAATAGTTTCTTCTATTGCACTTCTCATTTGTGAACTCTTTTCTGGCTTCTTGCTTCCTAGTCAACTTCAAAAAAATAAATGCGATGTCAATTATTAACTTCTGTCTTAATTCTTGTTCTTTTATTGTTCTCTATCCTTAATAGTTTTTTCTCTCATATTCTTTAACACTTAGAAGCCTCTTGTGCCTTAGTGGCTTTATTGTCTTGCTTGGAGTGAAATGATTAAAAAGAAAAGTAATGCCTTTTTATAAGAAATCAGTTAATTTCAAAATCTCCTTTTCATTCTTCTGTAATTCTTTTTTTTTCTTTTTTTTCTTTTTTTTTCTTCCCCAGATTGTCTATGAATTTTTCTTAAGGTTTTTAGAATCTCCTGACTTCCAACCAACTTCAGCTAAAAGATACATTGATCAAAAATTTGTACTTCAGGTAAGTTTCCTATATAATTTTTAATTTTCCAAGATCTTTTTTAATTAAGTTTTTCATCAAGCAATTTTAGTTTAATTATGGATGGTAAATTTTTTTTTTTTCCATAGGAACATTTGTTTTGCACATGACTGTATGAATATGAAAGTTGTTTTTTTTGTTTTTTTTTTTATAATGAAAGTTTGAGTATACATTAGTGATGAATATCTCAGTGCAACATTGCCTTTTACTATTTTATTTTTGATAAAACCAAACAGATTAATTTTTAGTTTAAATGTGGGTTATAATATTAAACTATGCACGTTTCATATTTAGATACCAAACTGTCAGCATAGCACTAATTTATAATTTCAAAGTTACATATATGTCAACAATATTGAAATAAAAATACGTCATGTAGCTTATATTCCTTCTTTTGAAAGCTAATTGTTTTTATTACATAATCTTTTCAGTTTCAAGTTTTCTTTTTCTTAAATGTAATTTTTTGAAAAGTGACAAGAGTTTTTATTTCTTGTAGTTGTTAATTTTAAAGATCTTAAAGGAAATGAAATCAAATTTGAACTTAAAAAATTTTTGTATTGTTAAAAAATAACCTTTCAATCTAATACAGCTTTGAAGTTATCTAATTTATTGCTTTAGACTGGCAGTTTTCACTAATCAATATCTAGCTTCTTATATAGAACTTGGACAAAACAAAATCAAATTCCTTTTCTTTCTTGTAAATTGCAAGCTTGAAAATGTCTCCTGTAATACTAAAATGCTTTTAAATAGTTGAAGTTTGTCAAAATTAAACTAATTTTAACTATTTAAATACATCATAAAAAAAATTGTAACAAGTATAAGTTTTGTTTTTTCTAGGCCCAAGTAGTTTGTTTCTCCCGACCCCTTCAGAGAAGCAGTTTTATTTTTAACCAAACTTTCTATATGCATGCCTTGCAGTCACTAAATGTAATGTGCACAATCCACCAACCTAATCCTTTGCTCTAGGCTTTCTTGTTCCTATTTTGCATTCATGATATCTAATTGATCTAATATTTCATTTTGTCTTTATTTATGTGCGTGCATGTGTGTGTATGTATATATATATATATATATATATGTGTGTGTGTGTATGGGAACACTGATGTCGGTGTAAACGGACGTTTTTTTTTTTTCTTTTCTCAAAGAAAGCAATGTCATATTTAAAGGAAAGTTTTGATTGTCTTACTTTTAATCATCCATTATTCTTATATTTTTCTTTGTTTATTATATTATAATATTTGTAAAGTTATTATTTATTTAGAGTATTTAATATACATATTTTTATAATCTTTTCATATTTGTTTATCTTTACAATAAGTCGTGGAATACAAAGATTTTTATTTTTTATTTTAAAAAAAAATTGTTTAGCAAGTGTAAAGATATCTCATTAAGAATTAAGACCATTTAATGTATTTGTTAAATTATTTATAGTGCCGTGAATAATTCTAATCTATTTATATTTAAGCATAACATTTATTTCTCTGTTCTTGTTTTTGCGAAAGTGGTTGTAATTTTTGGAATTAGAGGAAAGCATTTTTTTAATGTTTATTTTGTTTATTTTTGACTAGTAGCTCATTATCGCCGATTTCTTTATCCATTATTATTTATATTCAAAGATTATTTTCATAACATTTGGTATGCATCTTATTAACTGCAAAGTAATGTAATTTCAATTTTGTTGAAAAAGCTTTCCCAGTTATAACATTATTTTGTTTTGTATTTACTACTAGTCAATTTTGTATTATTATCTTTCAAATATTTTAAAAACAACATCAGCAATTATTATTGTTATTATTATAATTGTAATAATAATAAATATTCTTATATAATTGATAATAATTTTATACGTTATTATTATTTTAAAAGTATAGCAATATTATGGCACATTGATGACGATCTGTTTACTCCGACATCAAGTGTAAAATATATATATATATATATATATATATATATATATGTATATCCCGCAGAGCTATGTAAAGTACCAGGTTGAGAACTGGCACAGGCTACCTGTCCTTGATGAGGGTGAAAGGAGTCTCTCTGAGCTTTGGTTAGCAATCGTTTTAGTGTTGGTTTCACAATAAAAAGACTTCAGATGAGAAGGAAAACTCGTGATAGCTTAACTTGGTCATTATATTGCATGTGTCTACTGAGAGGCATGTACTGGCTGATATTGACTGTGATCCGGAGAGGTTAAACTCTGCAATAATAACACATGGGGACTGTCGTTCGGAGTTTCCGTGGCAAGTCTTTTGCACTGTTACTTTTTATCGACAGATCCAAAAAGTGTGGATGGTCTGACACAAGCTTTCACCACTTGAAACAAAATCATTGTGTTGGTTTTCTGACAACTACATCTAATTAGTTCCACGCATGTCCAGCTACTGCGAAAAACTCTACAAAACAACATCAACTTCATCTTGGTACTTGGAATGTATGAACTCTCCTGAACAACTCAGTACCAGAAAGAAAAACGGCTCTTGTCGCATTGGAGCTAAAGAAGTACAACATTGATATAGCTGCACTGAGAAGTAACCATCAGTCTCCTGTACTGTTTGTGATCTTTTGTGCAATTCCCAAGCCAGTCTCAAAAGTCATGCCCCTCATAAGGCTTTGCAGATAATTAGTTTGTGGTCGCCGGAACCTCATACATCGAACTCAATGGGAGAGTTCGTCATATATGCACACACACTTATTAGTTAATAAGTTATGGATCAGTATACTAGTTTTTGTGGAAAAATCCAATCGTAAGCTAGAAACATAACTTGGGAATTACTAAAGAAATTTCAACAAGTAACCTGGGTTAAGAAAATCCTGTCAAGTAAGTTTGCATAGCAATTTAAAGTTGTTTGATGTCCCTCAATCTTTTATCACTACATCTTAACAGGAACCTCTACTTCTCAGATCTTTTCACTTCATAAATAAATGCTATTGACAGATTTCATGAGAAATGATTGTTACAATAAAGTAGTCTTAAGAGGTTCTGTTGTTTCTTTTATTACATTCCTTCTGTTTAATGATTTATCCATTCATCAATTCTTTCATTTTCCTTCAATTTAGGTCATCTATAATTTCTTTTATTACATTCTCTGAAAAAAATACTTCCCAAATTCACAATGTTGTCTTTTTGTTTATATAAGAACCATATATTAAAATTTTATATATTCAGTGAAAATTTGTATAAAGTGATAAAGCAAAATTTGCTGCTTGATCTTTTTTTTTTTTTTTTTTTTTTTTTTTTGTTTAAGAAAACTTTCTCTTGTTATCAAAATGTGACTTTGCTTTGTGGTCATAAGGATTGCAGATATCATTCAAGCCCCACCCCCAATGAATAAAATCTTTTAAGAGTCAAATACTTTGCTTCCGCAACACCATGACTTATGCAACCTTGTGTTATAACCAGAATTTGCCAAATTAGAATTGCACCATCAAATCTACTTAACATCTCTTGAATATTTTTGTTGTAATTTACAAAAAATGCTATAATAGTTTTTCAAAATAATTGGGTAAAACCTAGATTTAAAAAAAAAATATTTATGTGCATGCACATGCGCTCACACACACACATTTACAGCAAAAAACAAAATCTACCTTAACATAGGAATAGTCTATTTCAAGCTAGGAGGACTGACATTGAAAAATAAATTTAGAATAAATTGAGACAGACACTTAGGTGCTGATGATAGCTGTGTACACACTAGCTTGAAATAGACTATTCCCATGTTGAGGTTTTTTTTTTTTTTTTTTTTTGCTGTTAAAAAAAAATACACATGCTCTGTTATAATAAATACATCAAGCTCACTGTGGATTTAATAATTAATATTACTAGGATCCATCCGGATTATATACCAACAGATCGATTACCTGTTATATATATTAGTGCATGCAAGTGGTATAAAGGAGAGCAGGGTTCAAATTCTGGTCAAATTTATTACTTTCACACATATACTCTTGAGAAAGTTACAAATTCACTTCTCCCCTTAACTATGGGTTAAATAGTTGAGCAAATTGGATTCTCTAGCCATGGTTGGTAACCAAGTCTAGGAGAGAAACTCTGATACAGAAATGTGAATTCATCAATTACAGTAGAGATCATAATCTTGACTGAGCATGGGCAATGAGGTCTGTATTTATCCCAAGTAGGCTTTGTCAGTCAAATGAAACATCACAAAGTGAGACCCAAATGTTACTAACAAATTTGTCAGATTAAGTCCTGTTCTAGTCAAACTGGACTGACCAGACACTTGAAAATCCATAACCCTTCTAACCCAAGAGAGACAAACTCCCCAACTATCAATGATCTAAATCTGTTGTCTGTATAAGAAATTTTGCAACTCACTTGCCAGCTTCAAAAGCCATTGTCAGCTGCATGACCATTATTGCATATTAGTGATGGCCATATTTATTTAAGAAATCAATAGCCATCATATGAGTAAAAAAAAACTTAACTAATATGATAAACTCTAATAAAATTTGTCTACAGTAAGTGTATAATTTATTTCGGGTATTTTTCAAATTAAACATTACTTAGACAGATTTTTGACATGATTGGCTTCCAAAATTAATACTATATTAAAGCTTAATAACTGTTTATTATTATTATTCTAATGGTAATTCAGTACAGTAAAAAAAAAAAAAAAAAAACTATCATGACCTGTCATTTTCTTTTATTGCTTGAGACTTAATCTCTATTTATATACAGATGCTGCAATTTCTAATTGTTGTCGCTCCCTTCTTTTTCTGTAAATATTAGATATTGTTCTAATTAATTATAATTTCTTATAACAATTTTTGGCCTTAGCACTGATGTTAACCATATCAGTGAGTCCGCATTAAATAAAACATCTTGCTTGAGTTCTTTGAATTTCTTTGAAGCATTGAAGTGTAAAGTAAATATCCTATAATCTCATATTCTGATTCTAATTACTAAAGTTGCTATATGACTGTACAGTTGACTTCACAACAACCAAAATAGTATAGGT